AGGGTGTGTCTTTAGTCTACTCGAAATTTCATATTTTTTAAGATTATAATACATCTTAGTTACTAAGCTTGATAAATTATAGTAGAATTCTTTGATATTCATGTAGTAATTTTTGATTTTTTAGTTATTCAAAAGTATATATAAATCCTAAAAAAAAATATTTAGTTTCATATCCTCGGTGTGCAAAATTTTTAAAGGCTTAGCAACCTACATTAAGCAGCAACTGAGTGCAAAGGTCGTAACTAGAAGAGATAATTGTTTGCTTTACTCCTTTATTTACTGTTCTATATTTTTGAAAAAATAACTTTAAGAACTTATTTCAAAATAGCAATAATCTGTATAATGTATAATAATTGAAATGCGACTGTATTTTACAAAATACTAGTCGATTAAAGCACAGCCAAGACAAGTTACTTTGTAGACACCAAAAGTCACCTTTATGTTATTTGATACAGTAACATGAATGCACGTGAGCTGCATCATTGTAATTTCTGTATTGTTAGCCATGTACGGGTGAAAGGTCAAACATTAAAAATAATAAATATATATAAATATAAATGTATAATGTTATGAAATTTAAGCTATTTCGTGCAAACATTTATGTTTTCGTGTTATAATTTGTTGTTGTTTGTGATTAAGCACAGAGCTACACAAAGGGCTATCTGTGCTCTGCCCACCATGGGAATCGAAACCTGTTTCTAGAGCTGTAAGTCTGCAGACATACCGCTGTGCTGCTGAGGAGCATTATAATTTGTGTTCATCCTAGAATGAAAGAGGCATAATTTATGTTTATTTCCTAATTTTTCTAGATGGTTGCGAAGTCAGTCAAATCTACCAGACCCATACAGAGATTAGTTACTGAAAATAACAGATAAAATATAAAGTTTTTTCTTAAGAAATGTTTGATAATTATCTGGACATCATAAATATTTTGCATGTGAAATTTCAAAATTTTCTGATGAATAAAAGTATTTTTAACCTTAAAATGAAAATTACTTTGCATGATAGATAGGCAAGATGTGAAAAAAAAAAAAAAACATAGAAAGAAACATTGCTTTACAAATCTTAAGATTTAATAAAAAAAATTAGATATTTTGCGTATGAAAAAACTGTAATATTTACTGATAATCTGGCATATTTCATTAACATTCGCTTACTAATTTAAAAGTTATAGCATGAAAACTATAACAAGCACAAAATGGTTACAAGGTCGGTCCTAGAAACCGAGCCTGGGCTGAAAGAGTTAATATAATATGGGCAAAATTTCTATGCAAATATTTGCCATATGGTTTCTAATAGATACATAAGGAAGAAGAAAAATACTGTGCAGGAACCCTGTTGTAAATGGTAGTATATAAAGGCCTTTAGAGTCACTGAATATTATGATGGCAAAAATTAAGATATAGATCTGGAAATAAAAGATTGATTTTTTTGGGATATGATAGATTGAGTTCCTTAATATGGAAGAGGAATCAACCATGAAAAAAAAGTACAGGTATGCCACACCCATGCACTCCCACCCCCACTACATCTCTGGTTACAATCAATATTGTATATACTGTCATATACCATATTTATTTTAATGAAGGGAAAACATGCTATTTTCTGTGTGCATTTTAACATTCTTGTCATACAAATATGACTTTTTTATAAAAACCAAAATAAATTATGGTTTATCTGCAATATTTCTTGGTTCATGAAAAGACTGGTGAGAAATTTTAGTTTACAGAATATCAAGTGAAACTTAAAGTATTTTATAAATGTATATAATGTACATATTTTATGTAACTATAGTAATTACTATACTTGAAATAAAAAATTTTAAAATCTTCACTGTTTTTTAAAGGCTAGGCCTAAGTCAATAGCCTTACTAAGATATAATTGTATCTTCTAAGAGCAATATTTCAGGTCTAGTGAAATGACTGGAACTACTTCCTCTATTGTTGATCATACACAATCTAATGGCATGATTATGCACTCTTATTTGATACCTTAATTGCCAATGTACATTTAATAAACTACTTCAAATGATGGTGAAGTCAGCTGTAGGTCATAAACTTTGCCAAAACCTTTCATGGGTCCTATAATGTATATGAAGCATATGAATGTCAGCATCCAAGTGAACACTTTTGCAGACCATAGTCCATTGGAACTCTCACAGTCCTTGTCATAATAACAGCCACTGGTTTTGAGGTGTTGCTGGAAGTTTGAGAGCTACTGTCAATGTCAAACCATTGTATATTACCTTGTTAAAGGAACTAAGCTATATATCTAGCTTCTTCACAGTACACAGTAGTGTTACGAGTCAGAGGGTTTTTTTCATAGTCATAGCTTTCACTTTGTAGAGGAGGTCTTGAAGAATGGCCTGTGTCATTACTAAACACTTTGCTGTGTGAGTTTTTTGTTTCCTTACAGATCAGTAAAGGGTCTCTGATACGAATTTTTGTGTTTTTTTGGCTGTATATCATTTAACAGTCATGTTATACTAATATTCTTTTTTATCAAATTACATAATGCACCAAAGAATGCAGAATAATAACAGGCAAGAAACAGATAATGTCCCATAACTATTCCAATTTTTCTGGCTTTTCAAGTATTTGACAAGATCAGTTAGTTATTTAGCTAGGCTTGTCGATGCATTTCCCGTAGGAATAAAGTTTGAACTGGACGCAAAATAGACAATTATTGTAGTAATCAATGTAATATAATACATCATTTCATAAAGTAAAACTTTCGCTTTCTATTGGTTATAAGTAATATAGTATTAAACATCAGAGAGAACTATTGGCAATTTCTGAAAGAAATGATGTGACAGGTGGGTAAGAGAAGTCTGATTTTTTTTAGTTTATGGCTCTGGAACTAACAAGATTGAAGGCTATAAAAATTATGCTTTGCCTAAGTAATAATAATATGATAATGAGTAATTTATGTAAAATTTCATACTTTTCAGAGGGGTGTTAAACAAATTAGAGAAGAGAGGATACCAAGAGAGCAAATGTCACAATTCTCATACTAGGAGAAATTGAGGATTTTTTCTATATTGCTTTATAAAATTAAGAACTATAATATTAAAATTTGGAATATTAGCTATGTTTGGATGTCAGGTTTATTCGTATACCATGATAATAAAGTAATTTAATTAAATTTTAAACGTATGGAAAGATTTAATGCAGTAACCCATAAAAAAAAAACTCAAGTGTGCTTGTTTTTACTGATGTCTCATAATGATCAATAAGAAACAGTAATAGAATACTGTTGTTTGGTGAGTACTTAGCATGATACTAGCCACTTGTTAAATGTAATCTTACCTTAACTACTTTTAAGTCTTCTAAAATAAGTTGTCTGGTGACTTCTAAGTGTCGAACTAGCCACATTTTATTTTGTGACCTTTCTTCGAATTGGTTTCCTTCAATCCTAAGAAGAAGAAAAAATCAGATCAAACCAAATTTTCACCAACATATATTAAATACAGTTTGACCATCTTATACTGTAACAATTAAAATGCAAGTCATTTGCAAATGATAAAACACGCATCATATTTAAGTCAAATAAACTTTGATTCATGTAAATCTTCTAAATCCTTTAAATGGTTACTTTTTTTACAACTGGTAATTAATACAAAAAGGTGGTTAGGGGATATAGAAAAAGAGAGAAAAAATGAATAAATCTTTATAATTTGAGAAAAATAAAACTATTGATTATTCAACTGTTAAAAAATATATGTGCAATGAAAACATTTGTGTAAAACATTTAGGATTTTTTTTACCATATACAATTTTTATGATACAGTTTTAATTCATTTGCCACTGTAGCTCAGATGAAATTATTTCACAGGCTGAACAATATAATATTGCTTCCCAAAATGTATCTGTCACTGACTGTAGCGAGCCAACGTTATAGAATTGTTAACATTTTAAAACTGGTAGTGGACAGATAAAACTGTTTTATACTGATTCTGTAAGAAAAAGAAAAACTGATAATTTTCACACTTAGAATAAAATTTCAAAGTTACATTTGAATTATTTTGTTACTATACTAAATAAAAATTATCTTAAGTAATGTTAAAACATTTAGTTTCAACTTATTTAGCCTTTCAAAGGAGTACTTTAATCATAATGCTCTAGAAAGGCTAATAGAAGTATCAAATTATAATGATGTTTTTACTAGAAGCTAGCAGTTTAAGTAAAATTCTGATTTTTTTTTACTAAAATTTAAAACAGAAGTTTAATTGTGTAACATTATGAAATATACAAGACATGTAATTCCATTTAGGTTTTTTCTAACCTATCTTGAACCGACATTTCTAAAATTTCAAAACAACGTTTCTTCCATCTCTTTGGTCGTCCTGTTGGCATAAATCCAGTGGTCTGTTGTCTTGCAATCGCAGCTTCATCAGCTCTCACTTCTCTTTCAATTATTCGAAGAGCTGTAACAATGACCTGTGGTTCCTTACGAACAGAGTTCAGCGTACGCCGAAGTATTAACCAAAGTTGTTTCCCAAGATCTTCAGAAAGTTTTTCAACGTCAGAGAAGTATTGTTTAAGCATCTAGGATAAATAAAAAGATTATGTTATTCCACTGTATTTTTGAAATCACAAGTACAAAAAGAACTGAATACTACTTTGTAACATATTCAGATAATTATTTTGAAATATATAAAATCGTAATATTGAAAAATGTCAGGAACACCACAGCAGTTTCAGATTCTTAGTATTAGATTTCTAAATAAAAAAATATACAGTGGTAAGTAAGACAGAAGAACTTTATTAAACTTTGTATGTTGTTTTTATGCTATAGAGACTTTTCAAGGGGTTCTATAAACCATAATACATAGATATTAAAAAAATCATTGTTAGTAATTTTATACATACTTCAACTACAGTTAGATGGTTGACTCAATTTATCAAAATAATGAATTACCTACCAGTATTAATCAATGTCACATAAATAATCAATTAATCATAATCAAAATTAGTGTTTCTGATTATTCCAACTATCCATGTCTCATGCAAGAATAATTGATTAGTTGAATGTAATCAATTAATGAGTCAGACAAATAGTTATCAAATTCCAACTACAATTCTTCCTATGTAAGTTTTTCAACCTAATTTATATGCTGGTTATTTCTCAAAACAAACACATGCTTATAAATATAAATGGTAACTCACAATTATAAAGTGAATTAACTTTTAGATAAATTATTTAGGTTAACCTCAGGCTAATATCAACAAGTTCAAAGTAATCAATATTAATTACTGATCAGAGCAAGTTATGCACTTAGAGCAAAATTAACAATCAATCTAGCAATCAGTACAGCTAATTAAAGTTAGCATTTTCCTTACTTGAAAATATATTGCAAATAAATACTCAATTCTCTGCACCATCAAGATCTATTACCTCACTCATACTGCAGTGTAAATTCCTTACACCATCAAGATCTATTCCCTCACACATACTGCAGTGTAAATTCCTGCACATGCCACAAGCTTTGAATAAAACTTCCACCCTTACACATGCCAGCCTATAATATAATAATCATTAGATTATAGACCACACCAGAAAAAATCTGGCGCAGGGTGTAGCATTCCAGAAATGTGTCCCATGGCAATCCCAGGATCCAAGTCAAGTGCAAAATGGCTTGGAAGATATATCATATATAGGCCTCACTGAAGCAATTTTGCAGGAAACCCCTCTGGGTATTGACCAGGAACAAGATGGGCTTAATACGTTCTGTACTCCTATGCTCAAAGGGAATTTTAAGTAAGTATTCCCTGAAAGGCAGCATCAGATGCTCAGTGATGTCCATCATTTCCATAATAGAGATATAAATTAATGTTGGATAAGGTGGTTGTGAGACCTGAAAAAGAAAAATAAACAACCCACCATCAGAGACACTGTAAAGAGTGTAAAATGGCAAATAGAGGGAGATGAAAGTCAGGGTGTGTGAAACCTCCCTGTGGTGCAAATAATGGGAAACTTGTGTATCAGGGTTGTCCACATTCCCACCTGTAAAATAGCATCCAGGTAACATCAATAGCTAGACTAAGAAAGATCCCTAAGTGAAGGAAATACAGGGTGGGAGAGGGGAAGAGAGATAGAAATGGAGAGCTGAACCAATCATACAAAACAAGATGAAGCCATCACTCTGAAGGAGACAAGTAAAGGTTAAACATCCACAGAGTAGTTGATTAATAGGCCTCAAGAATGTAGCCTCCAAGGCAAAACACACCAGACCCATTGAAAAAGAATGGGGCCATAGCCAATTCAAAGGGAAGGACTGAGAATCAAATGTTTGATCATTGTGGACAAACCAAAGAAAGCAAAGGGTGGACAGATGTCCTGAAAAGGAGATTGATAAAGATGACAGTCAGAAAGTAAGGCAACCTGCCAAAGTACAGTACAGAAACCAAGGTAACTGGGACAAAATGGAAAACATATATATGCAAGATGAATAGATGGAAGGAAAGTAAAAGAAATGAAAAAGAGATTCATAAGTTGAAAGAAAAGGTTCATGTGAATGAGGCATATGCAACAAGGGAGTCCGAGATTTAGCAAAACATTATTGGAGAAAGAAAAATTAAAAATACCTGTGGAACCCAAACAGTGAAAGACAAAAGTAGGACTACCTAAATGAGAAGCAAAGGCAGGCATGGAAATAGCAGTGAAACACTAACAAGATGAAGCAGGCTCAACTGAAGAAACAAAAATCCTGGATCTGAGATCAAAATGAAACCAACCACACTGTGCACAATGGCAATAATATCACTGATCATTAATGTCTCTAGTCTTCATGACAGAAATGTGGAAACATGAATGATGTGGTCCATTTTGGTATAATACATAAAAGCATAAATTTTTATTTATTTATTTTTTTGTTATCAGTTATAAATGAAATGATCTAGGTATGGTGATGATGCACGAGTCTAATGATGACCTTGAAGGTAACTGAAAGAAACCCATATCTTGGATTAGAGAATGGAAACAAAAGTACAAAGTCAATTAAAAAATAACCAAAAGGAAGATAATTCAATTGAAAGTTCTAACTCAAAAACTTAAGATTTAGTATTCTATCAGATAATCATAAAAATTAAGAAAAAAAGACAAACAGTAACAGAAGGTTTTGGGACATCTTATGAAAAGAAAATTATCTCAAGACAAGCATTGCTGAGGAAAGAATAAGCCTGTCTTATTGCTCATGAAAAACATGTCACCCTCCTGTTGGTGGAAGGCTATAATCTAATGATGGTTAACCCTATTGGCACGGGTACCCTTTACTGCGCATGACACAAGGTTTTAGTATCTTACATTCAAAATTTTATTAAACTACTTTTTGTTT